CCTGCAGTCCCCACCAACACTCAAATCTATAACAACTGCATCGCCATCATCCTCCTGCTGCTTCTGCTGCTGCTGCTGCTGCTGCTGCTGCTGCTGCTCCCCCTCCTGCTGCTCCTGCTGCTGCTGCTGCTGCTGCTGCTGCAGTTTGTGTGTATTGAAAGTTTTTTGTATCTGCGGAGATATCCATGTGGGTATAGTAGCCGAGAGCATGAGGGTTTGCCTTTTAGGGTTTAGGAGAGAGAGAAGGGCCCCCATGGGGGCCCCAAAGGGGGCCCCCAGCAGCTTGTCTGCTTCGTCCAGCACCAGGCAACGCAGCTGCTGCAGGTGCAGCAGGTGCCCTGCTGCAGCAAGAGACAGCACGCGCCCCGGGGTACCTATCACCACGTGGGCCCCCCGCTGCTGCAGCAGCACAGGGCCTAGGGGGGGCCCCCCATACACACCCCCAACAGCAACCACCGGGTGACACACAATGCTCCCTCGATACCTGCATACACACAGCAGCAGCAGCAGCAGCAGCAGCAGCAGCAGATGAGGCAAGAGCAGCAGCAGCAGCAGCAGATGAGGCAAAAGCAGCAGCAGCAGCAGCAGGGAGTAATCCGAAACAGCAGCAACAGAAATAGCAACAGAAACGATACAAAGAAAACAGCAGCCACAATAAAAGTCAAAGCAGCGAAAGAAGTAAACACAGCAGTAGCAGCAGCAGCAGCAGCAGCAGCAGTGGCAGCAGCAACAACAGCAGCAGGAGGAACTGCAACGCGGTGTCATAGACATAAGTAACGAAGACACCAGCAGCAGCAGCAGCAGCAACAACTGCAGCACCAGTAGCAAGAGCACCAAGAAAAGCAGCAACAGCAGCAGCAACAGCAGCAGCAGCAGCAGCAGCAGCAGCAGCAGCAATACTTGTAGAACTGAGCAGCAACTTGGTCTGCGAGCTCCCTCGTCGGCGTCAGTATAAGGATCGGCTCCTCCCTGGGCCACTGCTGCTGCTGCAGCAGCTGCAGCAGCGGCAGCACATAAGCGAGCGTCTTCCCTGTACCCGTGGGGGACCTTATCAACACGTCGCGCCCTGCAGCAGCAGCAGCAGCAGCAGCAGCAGCAGCAGCAGCAGCAGGAGCAGCAACACAGAGGGCGACGGAGATTATCTCAGGCGCAAGTACACTACCCCGTTCCCTGTACAGCTGTTGGCTCCTCAGCTAGCTACAGCTAGCTAGATAACAGCAGCTAGCCATGGATAGCCGCAGCTAGCTACAGCTAGCCATAGCTAGCTGT